TCCGTTTGCACCGGGCCAGCCCAATTAAGGGGCAAAGTGCTGGCCATATTGATTTTTCCATATCAGAAGGGGGTTTTGAAAGGCCGACCTCTCATAAGGGATGAGAGTGCACGGCCACTCACGCCAACCAAGCTGGTTATGTAAAACCTATTTTAAGTTTTTAACGATTACTAAAGAGACCAATACCAAAAACAATCGCCAGGAGACAAGTAAATACAGAGCAAGCATGCACTGATATCACATAAAAAACCTAAGGATTAGCTTTCATTTCAAATTAGAAGTTGCATACTTACAGGTTCAGACAAGAGCTCTATGGCAGAATGTGCTGCAAATTCCAAATCAGTAAGAGAACTCAAGTTGGCCAAGCTTGAGCTTCGTTTGTTTGAATGTGTTCCAAGTGAACTCAGACTGTCCAGGCTGCTTGGACCAACATGGTAATTTTCCTTTTTGGGACCATTTTCTTCAACTTCCCTCTTTCTTTTCTGTTCAAAGTATCTATCTGCTTCTGCTGATGAACGACACCCAGCAGCTCTAGCTTCCTGCAGGTATGGTTTTGGAAGGACAGTTAAGAAAACTATTGCTATAGGCATTGTCAATATCTGTAAAGTCTCACAGCCTAAAAAAGAATGCTAATTCAATATCAAAGGCAAGAATTATTAAAAATTTTAAATTTTAAATAACTTCTATTTTAAGTTTTAACATCAACATAACTGTTAGAATCATGAATGGACAGGGGGCATCTGGTGAGTTCAAACGACAACTGTAAGGTTGAATCCAACCGGTTAGCTAGTTGAACACATAGCAGTATAAACCCATTTCATTATCTCAACTCTCCCATTGCGGCCAATAACAAGTGCAGAGAGAAAAGCAATAAAGAAAGACTGATGGGCAGCACAAATTATTTCCAGAAAAGCAAATCATACATGTAAATATCTTTTTCAGAAATGAGAGCAACCAACCTTGAGTTCTTTTATTCTTTTCAGAATTCTATGCTCAGAGATTATAGCCTTAAGTAGTTCTTCATGCTCTCCCCTGGAATGAAAACGCATGAAGGCATCATAGCGTCGCCATATATCCTTCTCTTCTTGAGATAGCGTCTTCTCAAATTCAGTTGGATAGAGCAAATTCCTTTCTGTTATGAAATCTTTTCTACGTTTTCTCTCATCAAGCCTGCCAAAGTTTTCATTTTGTATTCAATCTAGCACTATAATTAAGGACAATTATACTTTAAAACAAATGTAGTAAGTAATACCTCTTTGAATAGATACGCAGAACTCGCAACTTCAGTTCACGCTCCTCTTCAGTGTCGGCGTCTTTAAATTCCATGTCAGCCAATAATTGCTCAGCATCATTATCATACTCTGGGTCAAACTCATGCCTTTTTGGATTATATCCACTTATTTCCATTAGTGATGGGCCCTCATCCTTTGATAACTTAGGCTTTTTGCTTCCAAAATTCAGAGCTGATACATTATCTGCCAATCAACAAGGAAAATTTACTCATGATCTTGAGTTTTTAAAGATCTTATTTTCACACGCTGGCTGCACCAATGACAACTTTAAGTATAATGTACAACCTTCCAACTTTACTGAGTCAGTTTGGTCCTTGGTTAAGACCTTCTTTGATGGCTTTTTAATGCCAGCTGTTCCTGCATGTATATGTTTATATTATAAGAATGCGCAGTAAAATCTATATCTTTAAGAAAGACCAAGTGACTGCAACACATATACCAAGATCAAGGTCTTCCTTACCAGTATTGGATGCTGAAGTCAAACGGCCTGAGGATCCACTTCTGTTTGAGTCTTCAAGTCTAATTAATAGTGCAAGAGAATCAATGTTAAAAACAAATGGAAACCATGTAAGCGACAAAGTAGCACATGGGATATGAAAACCATACTTTACTCTTGATGGGGAGTATGGTAATTCATTCTTCCGTGCTAGTTCCCCAAGTGAAACAAATCCTGTAATAATCACAATCAACCAATATTATGGACCAACACAAAAAGAAGCATTAATTTGAACACAGAAAGCTTAAATCCCTAATGCATCATGTTGTTAAACAAAATGACATCTATCAGCCTTTGTCCAATGTAATCTCTTCCAAGTCTTAAAAATATCATCAGGTATGTAGCTGCAGAATGATCAGTGTTGCAAAAATCGCGCCTAGGCGCTAGGCGGTCGGCCACCTAGGCGCTCTAGGCGCCGATTAATCGCTCTAGGCGCCCTAGGCGGTCCCCAGGCGCCTAGAGGGCGCCTAGCGATTTTTGCAACCTTGAGAATGATAGAGCTAGAAATAGAAATAAATTTCACAAAGTAATAGCCATCAAATTATAACACTAACCTTTCTTATCTTCACCATTTTCTTTACTCATGGCAAGGAGTTCTTCCCTGTTTCTCCCAACAACGTGTGTCATATCCTGAAACAGCATTTGATATGGGTTAAATGTTGGGACAAAAGGGTAAAATTTGGAAATTATGCCAATTATCATACCGGCAGAGGAAAGTAGGGGGAGTTCAAGTACGCACTCCTATAGTGTTCAATGCATGCATCTTTGGTCTTTGTCCCAACATGCTCGCCAACTTCTGCCCACTTACCAATGCCATACATTTCAATACCCTAGTTAAACAAATTCAAGCAAAATATTGGAGAAGAAAAAAAAAATAGTTAATAGAAGGATAAAGGATGGTATGCGTATATAATCAAGAATCACAATTTAAGAAATACCTCTAAAAGTAACATTTCTTCATCAGCATTCCAGTCTGGACATATAAGGGGAAAAGATAAGATATCCTGTTCAAATGACATAAGGAAGGTTAATATCACACCAAGAGTTGATTCAACTATGCCCTAATCCTAAATCCAGTTAGGAATGTCCTTAACACCAATGTGGGAAATGCCTATCAAAGGCATAACTTATTACTAATTTAACACTATCAATGAAATGATTTCATCAAGGGCATAACTTGTTAATAATTTTACACTATCAGTGAAAGCATTCAACAGACTGTCCAATGTAGTCATATTGTCGATGCAAGATAAGAGGACTACCATGAAAATTCAAGTAGTGCGGAACTAACCATAACCCTGTAAGGATGATTGCTTTTGTGAGGCTGCACTTCAGCACCGACTGAGAAGCACTCTATGCATAGGTCAAAATCAGAACACACCGCACATTTGATACGGATTCTCCCAGTAATATCTTTGTTGCAATAGTTGCAGTGGTACGAAGCTGGTTTGCCTTCACCTGACCCTTGGCCTGAATGGCAAAGACCCAATCATAAACAAATTTCCATATAAATCAAAAACTTCATAATCAATCCACACCTTACAAAACTAGTCTGACCCTGACAGTGAGCTAAAGTCACGTTAATAGTCTACCCAACTCTTTGGAAGGATTTCATTACTAATGATGTTAGCACCTTTACATAACATGGTCATTAACATCTCCTTCTCATGTGCACAAAAGAAAAAAATGGCCAAGGAAATAGAAAAGCTGAGCAATAAATTTAAAGAGAATGAAGAGTGGATTCAGCTGAAATGTAGTTGGCATAAAACAGAGCTCACCAGCTGTAATGTAATCTAAATTTTCTCCATTCGAGGCATTCTTTTTCCTCCTTGATCTGTGTAACAAAAACAGAAAACAAAATACATTCATGAAACTACACACTTTTATATTATCATTTCAGAAAAAAAAAAAAATAGAAAATAAATAACTACGATTGTGAATTACCAACAAAGAGATTCCACACTAGGAACACAAATGGCAATGCAACTGATAGGTCAAAATAAAATGACAATTTAAACATTGGAATGCTACTTGTCTCACGAACACAACTAATAAAATCACTACAATTAATAAAAGTTTAATCTTTGTCCAAATGCAAGTCAAACTCCTAACTATTTATCAACCCAAAAGCAAATTTCAATGCTAAACCATAACAGTATGTCAATATCCCAGCTAAATTATATTTAAGCACAAAGAAACAGAAGAAAATACAAAAGAAGCTAAAGCAGGAAACTAGATTTTGAAGTATATAAGTTTAAACCTTTGACTGGGATCTTCTTCCGCGTGAAAATTTCCGCGAGACCGACCCATTCACTTTCCGAAGCTCGAAGACCTCAAAGAGCTACGTATATATGCGTATGAATATGCTTGTTTTCAGGTTGTTCGGGGGTGCAAAACCCTAAATTAAACTGGGTTAGTGAATAGTGACGAAGATTGAAGACACCCAGCAGAGAGTCAATGAATTTTAGTTTCCAGTTTTGGGGGTTTTCTTAATTGAATTCTCAACGTTCAACTTTGCTGTTTTTGGAAACCTAAATTCTTGCGTTGGGCTGTGAATGTTCATTGCATTATCAGAATGGTAATAACGTGATTTTTTTTTTTTTTTTTTTTTTTAGTATTTTCCTCCTGAAGTCCTGATTTTTTTGAAAAGGTTTTCTTTTTTTGTTTCTTTTTCCTCTTCCTCTCCCAAGAGGTTGAATTTATCCGATAGAACACTTAAGAGGATGTAAATCACGATGAATCCGCTCGAACGCTTCTAAATATCGATGTGCACAAGGAATTTGCACACGTTAACATAATTCTTACAATGTCGTTGTCGAAATTCGAATATTGGTCTTTTCTCTATGTGTTTTTTTTCTCTTATAAATATATGGCACTTCAAAATTTTTTTTTAATGAAATTCGCTAAATTTCTCACTAATTTTAATAAAAATATAAATTTTCACAGATTTAATTAAAAAAAAATTGTCACATACATAAAAATATCTTATCTTAAAAATTTTGAGGAGTGTTTAGCTCACAGAATGTAAAATTATTGTAAATAATAATATTATACTTTCTAAATTATAATGTAACATTAATTTGTATATTCAATTAAGATTAAGATTTTTTTTTTTTGAAAGCGATTAAGATTGTTAAAATGTAACATTACCTTGAAATTGACTATAAAAATGATATATGTAGTATAAATGGTGGAGAATTGGCAACGGAAGAATGACAAAAGTCTGGGACCTCCCCTGGTTGCCTGACTCCCATGACCCGTCTGTTCACTCAGATTCGCCTGCGCAACATCCTGATTTGATGGTGGCAGACTTAATAGATAATGACCAGGGATTTTGGAATCAGGATTTAATATTGCAGTTATTTATTCCCAGGGATGCTGGCTTGATTTTACAGACCCCGGTATGTGTGGATTTTAAGGATGATTGGTACTGGGCGGGTGATATAAGGGGAGTATATACGGTCAAGAATGGTTATAGGCAGCTTAGGGAGATTAATGCCCCATGTGATGCAATATGGAATAACATTTGGAAATTACAGGTTCTCCCAAATGGAAGATTTTCCTTTGGAGAGCTATCACTAATATTTTGCCAACAATTACTAACCTGGTTAGAAGAAGAGTGGAAATTCCAAATGTGTGCCCTGCTTGTGGTGTGCTTGAAGAGGATGTTATGCACATTTTATGCAATTGTGTTTATGCTAGACATGTGTGGAATGTTTCACAACTCCAAATCCCTAACTTTGGTGATCATGATTTTGTGCAGTGGGTGGAGCTTTGGCTAGGGAACTCAGCAATATCTGCTGGTTTTCAAAAAGATCAAATATGTGGAATACTCTACGAAATATGGAGGGTCCGGAACATGGCGGTTTGGGACCTCGCTTTGCCTAACCCGTCGCAGCTTTGTGCCTCTTTTCACCGAACCTGGGCCGTATGGATTAAATCAAATGCTCACGACAGTGTTGCGCCGTTACTGCCCATTGCTACTGCTTTGCCACAGCCGCTGTCCGAAGTATCGCCTGCCATACTACACGAGGCTGCTGCATCTCTCGCCCACAATACCGTGATATGTAGTACGAACGCTGGATTTTATGGGTCACAACACGCACCAACTTTCGGCTTCTATGTGCGCAACCCGGAAGGTGTTTTTATAGCAGCGGTAAATGGCCCCCTCTCTTGCCCATATGATCCGCTTTTAGCCGAAGCAATGGCAATACGTGAGGCTCTCTCATGGCTTCAGGACCACAATTATCACAGTATTGTTATTTTGACGGACTGCGCAGTTCTCGTGGATAGCTTCCGAGACGTCAGTTTGTTCCGCTCGTATCTTGGCATTGTTTTAGACTCATGATTACGTTTGTTTAATTCATTCCCAGCTCATTCTATTAAGTTTGTACGCAGAGGCACCAACTTGGTTGCTCATGCTTTAGCTAAACATGTAGGAGCAGTACATGAACGCTCAGTCTGGAGGGAGTCCCTCCCATCGTTTATTCCTTCGGGGTTAAGTTAATGCAATATATGAAGTTTTTGGTTTTCAAAAAAAAAAAATGTAGTATAAATGGTAGTATTGAAATATTTAAACATAATATTGTACTCCATAATATCTAAGAAATGATAAATACTCAGATTATCTTCTATCACCCAATCATATTTTCTTATGTGATGATAATATTATACTACCAAAGGTGATCATATAAATTGAAATAAACAAAGCTATATAATATAATTATTATCACATTTAATTTCTAGGTAGTATTATTTAACCTGAAATAAACATTCATTTTTAGATTGTTGGAACATATTCCATTTTCTTGCATTTTTTAAAACAAATCTATGTTAAGTTTTTTTTTTCATTGTTTTCTTTTAATTAACCTTCATTTGATTATTTAAAACAAAAATCCTCTATAATTATAACATTATTAATAATTAAACAAAAAATGGATTCACAGCTTCTATACAATGGAATCTGTTTGATCACTCCACCCCCTCTTCATTAGGTCTAATATTCATCTTGATTTCTCTTTTGTTAAACAATCCACAAATTGGGTTGCTCATACGCTAGCTAGACATGCCATTTTTTTTTTTTAACGGATTGTATGAAATAGCTTACCGTTCTCTCTTTAACGGATTGTATGGAATAGCTTACCGTTCTCTACTTGATGAAATTTCCCTCTTTCCAAAACAAACCAAAAAAAACAAAACAAAACAAAACAAAAAAAAAAAAACAAAACAAAACAAAACAAAACAAAACAAAACCAAAAAATAAAAATAAAAAATTATAACAAAAAATTTAATAGTCAAACTTAATTAATTAACAATTTACAAGATAGTAGTACTAATTTTACAAATACCTTCCTAGAGCACTAAGAGCATCTACATCAGTAGATAATGTGGGGAGAATGCATGTATTAATTCACTCAACACAAGTTTATAGCTAATGTGGGGGAGAATAAATTTGGGAAGAATTCATCTGCAAAGTTGGGGATGGGGATAATGGCAGAAAAGAAGAAAAAAAAAAAAAAAAAAACATTGGCTGCTGTGCGCGTTTTGCGCACAGCAGCAGCCCACACGGGCGCGTCAGGCGCGCCGTACTTCATTCTTGTTTTTTTTTTTTTTTGCTTTTTTTATTTTAGTTTTTTTTTTTTTTTTTTTTTTTTTGTTTTCCACCCCTTCCCACATTCTCTCTCCTAATCACTCTTACATTATCCCCCAATTATCCCCAACCATTGTGGATGCTCTAACATAGTAACATTACAATCTATGTATATAAGCCAATGAATACATAATACAGTTCAATGGTGATAAATGATTCATTTTAAGAAATTTCACTCTATTTTGAACGGTATTGCAGAACTATCGCCTGACCTCCATCTTTCTATATATAGTAAAGCTGAATATTGTACTATATTTAAAAATGAGTTAATTCCAACAATGGTCCTCCGACTATAACGATTTTTCAAAAGCAGTCATCGTCTTTTAATTTGGACAAAATAAACTCTTAAACTATCAAATTTGTTCCAGCATTGGTCCTTCTGTTGAAGATCAGTTAGTTAGGCGTTAGTGTAGGAGTTAAATTGTTAAAATAGTATTTTTCTTAGCTATTGCTTTCTTCTTCTTCTCTTGTCTAACCAGCCGCCTACGCCTTATTCGCCTTCTACAACTATGAGTTATAGTTCTAGTTCTCACCTCTTTGATTATGAAGGTTTCTTACTTCTTAGTTGTTGGAAATACATTCAAAGTGGCAGCTCATTATTAGGATAGTCAACATAGACATTCATGATTTGCTCACAATGTGTGGATGCATGGGTTTTCTTATTTCCATTTCCCTTTAATTAGATAGTGTGTGGATGAAATGGAAAGCTATTGTTTGAATTCTTCACAGATCTACAGTATATAAGAATGCAAGTTGTTTGTGTCCAAATGCACAAAACAGGAAATATTTTCCTTTTCTATCTTCCTCTCTAGTTTGTCTACAAAATCTGAGCAATAGTGAGGTTTGCCTACGTGATTGCTAGTGCAAGCTATCCGTAGTAGGTCTGTGTAGCCTGTCGAAAGCGTGCCAGGGTTCTAACTGCACCATTACCGGGCAAATAACGGTTTTAAGGTAGTGTTATTATAACACAGCACAGATTTCCTTTCAACCATACACCCGTAGTGTCCGTGCTTCTTAAAAGGCTTCCAGATCGCGCGTTGACGTTGCGACTATTTTTCAACAGTTAAAAGCGTTATTGTGTAACAGTCAACCTTTAGCGTTATGGCACCTTATGGCATACCCGATCTATCAAAGATCACTGCGCTTGATGGTAAAAATTACAGTAGGTGGGCTCAAATGATGTGTATCCTCTTTGAACAATTAAAGTTGGTTTACGTGCTGTATTCAGTTGCACCTGAACCTACTCCAGCAATGTTCTCTCCTTTTGGTACTACAAAAGCTAACCATGAACCTGATTACACTTCGAGTGAAGAATCGAGAGAGGTCCTGAAATAGATTACATTCCGGGTTAAGAACCGGGTGTAACTCTGATGCAGTTTAGAAATGACAATGCGGCAACCAGAGGATACCTTCTGTCACAATTGAATGAAAATTTGTTCAACATCTATGTCAAACAAGACTCGGCAAAAGTCATTTGGGAATCACTGTCAGAAAAGTACGATGTCAATGAAACTGAAAAACAAAGTGTCAGAACCGTCTACAGCAAAAGGAGTGGAAAAGTCAAGAAGTTCAAAGGAAGATGTTTTGCGTGCGGAAAGCAAGGACATCGAGCATACCAGTGCTACCATCGCAAGGGAAAAACTAGCAAAAGTCAATCTGACAGAGCAAGATGAGTATTGAGTCTCTTTAAATATGTAGTTATTTTGATTAACTATAATTGCTCTAGCCCTAAGGGCTCGCATGAAGTATGATTTTCTTAGTACTAAATACTAGTTGGGTTGCCTAGGTTTGATTACTTAGTAGTACTTATTTCTTTAGTATGTTGAATACTAATGACATTGATTGAAATGATTTGTGCATAGATATTGCTCAAATATTTTTACTAAAATAAAATAAGAATATATATCAAAGGCTTTAATTGCAATTTAATGAGAACATGGAAACGTCATCATTCTTGAACACTCTGTCTAGGAAGATGGTTTTTAAGTAAACTTCGGTTTCACCACTCGACCTGGGAGTGCTTAAGAAGTAGGGCGTTGATCATGCAGACTAGTTAGAGCGCCACCTGAAATGAGGTTGACTTTCATATATTGTTAAACAATCAAAGCCTTGCAACAGAAATTGTTGAAGTACTGCAATAGTAATATTGATATGCATCATATGAATGCTTTATATGAGTCTCAATCTCCTCAAGTGAAGGAAAAGTTATGCATGTGACAAGTTTGAGTGTTAAAATTATACTTGTTGAATTCACCTTGTTGAGAGATATTTCCTAATAAATGTTAGTCTGAACATATTCTTTGTGTATGAGATTAATTTCTTGTAAGAATATGATCTGAAATTTGTGATTATGTTGTTCAACTTGAAGTAGCATGTGAACAACATTATCTCTTGTAACACGACACAGATTTTCTTTCAATCATACACTCATAGTGTCCGTGCTTCTTAAAAAACTTCTAGATTGCGCGTTGACGTTGCAACTATTTTCCAACATTAGTTGCGTATATAGGTACGCAAATGAGCTTTCAATTCATTATGAAAAAATGAGAAAAAAAATTCAATCTTGATTTAATTTAAAGCGGAGAGATTTGGACGAGCCGCCGTATCAATGCCTGATCACCAAAATCAAAATTTACCTAATCAAAACCACATAGCCAAAATTCCAGGAAAGTGTTATTCTGGAACCAAAATCAAAACCACATAGAAGATATATTCATGCCTCATTAAACAATGAAACATGTATGCGTAAGCTTGTTAAACAATTCCACCCTGTACTCCATCTCTTTCTCTGCCATCCCAAATATCTGCTCTCTTTCCATGGCAGAAGGGGAATTAGTAGGCCGGTGCCATTATGTGTGGAGGTCTGGAGGAACAAAGAATGGTTCACCAAAGTGGCAAAATGGAGTGTATACTTGCATCCACGACGCATCGGCGGCGGGCAGTTCGAAGCAGCCGGCGCCCGGCAGTGTTCTGAAGCGACGGGGTGAGAGCGAGGATGACGTAGATGATGGGAGGCAGTCACGGCGGGCCGACGGTGTTCCTCAAATCGGAAGATTGCGCCACAAAGAGGGTGAGAGAGGGAGTGTATTCCCTTCGTTCTTCTTCTTCCTTCTTGCAAAGGAAAAAGGGGAAATTGCACCGCTGAAATCCAATTCACAGTAATCTTAGTGTAATTTCCCCTTTTTTCTTTTTTTCCGGCCGTCACTGCAAGAAGGAAAAAGAAGAACAAAGAAGAAGGGAGGAGAAAGAAGAAGAAAAGCATCCATTTACCCCATGATTAAATAATAATTAAAAAATAGTGTATATATTTCTGGCTACATTTGACGATGATTTGGTTAGGTGGATTAAATGTGTTAAAAATTACATAGTTAGGATAGTAAATTATTAATTTTTAAAGTCTATGTATTAAAATTAACAAGACACCAATAATTACAGAACTAAAAGTGTAATTTTCTCTTTGGTTGACTTTGATAGTTTGATTCGTTCATTGATCACTTACAATATAAAAAATTAAATTATTCTAGTGCAATAATAATTAGGAAAATCGAAGATTTAAACAAGAAGCCTATACACAAGTATGTATTTTAAGTTATTTTATCTAAGGAGTATTCTTAAAATATTTTATATAATCAAATCTCATATATTGTATCAAATAAATCCTATACGTTTACTAAAAAGGGCAAATCCTATATATATTT